TTTATATTTTAGATATCCATCAATTATTATGGTGATGAAAAAGATTTGCCGCGCTGGTGGAACAACACGAGACCGTGCTACCGCGACTGTCACGAGTGGCTCGGACGGTGTTTAGTGTCCAGCAGCAGCGAGTGCTGGAAGAGTTCCATGTTAAAGCGCACGCAAAGCTTGCCGCAAAACGCCAGCAAGTAATTACCATGATGAATGCTCCAGGGGAAATAGAATATTCGCAGGGTTTCGGTTCATTTTTGTGAAGCGCTCCTGCTCAAGACCGAGACAGCAGAAAGCGTATCCTGTTTGTTTTCAAAAAAAGCACAACGCATGCTGATATTGTGAGTGCACACAAAGTAGAACACTAGAAAAGTAGACACTTAACAGTCCCGAATGATGTAATACTCTTACCTTTATGAGCAAAAATGACTGGTTGTTTCCACAGTTATAAGAAAAAAATGCAAGTGATCATGCTGGCGACTCCATGTCCTGCAAAGTGCGCTTTAGCTTCTCTGCACAAACGATTGGATACGCTCCTAATAGCACACATTTATCTAGGTTAACCATTTAAACTAACATTGTTTTTTTAAGCATTTTATATAGGCCTATAGATTTTATTTTAGTCAAGTGGTGATTTGAGAAGGCCAAATTGATCAAACATAGGCTATGATTAACTCACTGTCTGCCACTGGCCGCTTGGTCGACTCGGCCAGTAATTCTGATAATCTGTCGGATAAGGGCCGGACTAGGGCATATGTTTGAGGCCCGTGCAGGGTTCTGCTGAGCTTATTTGGTAGCAAACGCAATACTCATATACGCGTATTACGCATATTGAACCCTGTAAAGGGCATTAAGATACCTTTAATACTTCTTGAGTTACAGGCATGCAAACCTTGGAGGAAAAAAAAATCCCATTTTTCAATGGTCACCACTGGCACATAATGCAAAAAAAAGGATTGCTAAAGTCAAACAGATTTTACTAATAGACCTACCAATCTCTGTGTAAAAGTAACATAAGGATGCTACCATCTTTCTGTAGTCATTTTTACTCTGTGTAATTTGGTTCTGAATCAGAGGTAAAAATGTTATTTTTGAACCCCCTCTATAAAATAGTGGATTACTCAACAAATACACATCCATGACATTTAATATGTTGGCTTTCATCACTATACATGTTTACCTTTCTTCAGAAAAAAAAATATTGACAAAATCAAACATTTGAGCTGGGTACGTTTCTGAAATTTGGTTGATTTGACAAAGAATGACCCTTATATGTTTGCAGTTTTCTAGGTTTGTGCTGAGTTCCACGTATCACAGAAAACAACATGCACAAGCAAGATTTCAGAGACGTTGCGTGACATTCTAAATGTTTATGATCTTAATGGGAGTTTTAATTTGTCAGCACTAAATACCTCCATCACTATCTATAAAAGAAAGTTAGCATGCTTGTTTAGAATGTTCGTGTTTGCTTTGTCATTGAAGGATGTACATGATGTTGCTCTTTGTGCTCACCTGGTGTACCTGTGTGAAGACGACCTACAGTTCTTAAAGACTTCAAATGCAAGTATTAAGTGCATTAACAGAACTGCTCATATCAGTAAATGCAATTGTCTAGTTTTAGTCTAGTAAGATAAAACGTACAGTTGGACCCTCTATGTGTATTCCAGGTGGAGTCGCCTGGCGAGCCAGACATCACTAACACTTCTGCCATTGTGGTCAATGAAAGCACTACAAGTCCTGCAAGCACTGCAGCTGTGAAGAATGATCTTCTGGTGTGTTTTGACATGTTCAGAAACACTTGTTCAAACAGTCACAGTGTTTCAAAAAAAATACGACTGAATAAACAAATCTTCAATTGTACAGCTGCAGTTGTGTTTTTTTTATTTATGCTGAACTTTAGCATGATTAGCCTAGGAGTAATGCATACAGTAGGTGTATTTTCTGAGGTAGTATTTGTATTCAACAAAGTACTACTGCATCAAAATTGAAATTAAAAACATTATATATGGCATAGTTTAAAGTACAGTGCACTTAAATTTTAAATCAAATAAAATGCAAACTTTTAAGTTTGATTCGATTCTAATTTATAATAACTGTTCACTTTAAAAAAAAAAAAAAAAAAAAAAAAAAGATGAGTTATTTTACTTAAATCTTTTGATGTAATCGTTTCCACAAATATTCAAGTATTCTGAACGTATCAGGTTTTATAGTGTACAGTGACTATATTTCTCTGGGGAAAAAAGAAGCCGCTCATCACATTTGCATTGAGTCTATGGAGTTATGACACCGGTGGGGCCCAATTTCATGATTTCACCAAGAGCCCCACAAACCCATAAATTGGCCCCAGTTATCAAACTCAAGAAAAGACCCCAAAAAACAAAGCAATACTTTTTACAAAACACCATACTAATGATGTAGCTTGTCCTTTTAACGATTTACAGAACATTCACTCAAAACAGGTTTTTGGGCCATTGCCTGAAAAACAACATAAGACCTACAGCATGATGTCAGTGTCACTGTGATTATTTGTGAGTCTGTAATTACTTGTCATTTAGCAGACACTTTTCATCGTAGGTGTCTTACAGTACAGAAATGAGAGTCACAGCCCCTATAGCAACTTCTAACAGTGCCGCCGTGAAAGGGGCTCAGGACAACATTTAGATGGGTGGGCCCTCTCACCCCCGAGCCGTCAGTGAGCCTTCCTCACCACAGAGCCTGAGACAGCGTTCCTGATTATCCCCCACCCCGCAGTGATGGTTCTGCCTGGTTGCTTATGGGCAAAGGTTTAGATCTCAGACTCAGTGCAGTGTTATTTTAGCTTAGTAACCTGTTTAGCATTACTAACAGAACTGTCGAACTGTTTAGCTTTTGAAGAACTGTAGAAGCCACTAAAAAGACGTAACAGGACATTTTAAAATGATCAGTGAAAAAAATGCTACCAGAATTGAGTAAAGCCGAAATTTGATTGTCATTACCCTACTCAGTGAGATTGTCATGTTAGTGAGATATTTCACGTGGATGTGCTATGGCTTCCGTCAGGAAGAAAATGAAGAACTCTCATTCCCAGTTAAAACCGCAGGAGTTAGTTTACTGAATGAGTGACAAACATGCTGGCGGGAACCATCTGCCCTGGTAGTGTGTGTCCCTCATTGATGAAGCATTGGAAGGAGGGCAGATTTAGCAATAATTACAATTGTAAAACACAAGATAACAAAAACATACTAAATAAAAAATCAACAGGACTTTTTCCTCTCTTATTTGATGTCTGCATTACATTAACTAGTGATGATTCCAGTCTCAGGGTCAACAGTGGTAAAAAGGCATCTGCATATTAATGCACGGAATTATTTTACATTAAAAAAAAATGTTTTTTAAATGTATTAGAGAACAATGCATATTCTATGTTACCTTCCACAGCCAACGACTCTCTTCAACTCCACTTGGCCAATCTCAATATGATCCCATGTGTCCTAGTTAAGGAATAACAGAGTTTTATTTTAAATCATAACACACCTTACATTGCGTAATACTGTATATTTAGTTATACCTCCGTGAAGGCCTCACAGTCATTGACAACAATACTGGGACGAAATTGAAAGACAGAAACATCTTTATTCAACCGGGTATTCAGGTCCCTAACAGAGGCCTCTGACATTAGCATGATGGGAGCAGCATCAGGATAGGCCACCTAAAAAATTGTGAAATATCAGATTATATAATGGTGGTGATATAAGGAATAACACAAAGAAAGTCACAGGAGACATTAGATCTCTTCTGTAAAGTCATTAAAGTATTTAGTACAATTGTGATATCACAAAATTTCCAAAATAGTGTTGGTTTTGTGTATTATTGGGTAACTGATTTTTAAGACATATGACAAAGCTATTGCAAGAAACCGTACTGGATTTTGACATATGTTGAAAGGAGGTAGAAACATATGTGAAAACTCATAAAAAATTGATTTTAAAATTAAATTACCCTCTTCTGTCGAGATCATTTTAAATCACTTTTTAAATTTGTATTTGTATTATGAGACGTACAGGGCCGTCCATCAAACCTTTTCATCCTTAGGAAAGAGGGGCTCTTTCTCAGAGGGCCTTTGGGCCTTCAGATGAGGTTCATAATGCACCAGACGAACAGTCTTGTCAGATTCCAGGTATCGTGTAAGCCAGTTAGACACATCATCCCCACAGTCCCTGCCCTGAACGTCTATACTAAAGACTCTAGGGACAAATTTAAAAATAAAAGCACATTTATTTTCAATTTTCAGCATGCCACTTCAATTTCAATCGCTTAAAACGTAAGAATGCCATCGAATTACACCACAAAATGCCATACCAAGTGGAACGTATTGTAAAGAAAGTTAGCGCAGGCACACTTTTCAAACATAATGAGTTTGTCAAATGATAAAACAATAGATATATGGTTCAGAATGAAGCCCAAAAGTATTTGGAAACTTTCTGGTTGGTGGAACATGTTCATAGTTAATGTGATGAACTCTTTTGGACACCTGTATGAACTTGAAGAGAACTGACCTCATAAATAAATAAATGTCAGATTAAATGTCAAAAAATTAAGTTAATAATAAAAGCTAATCCACTACTATGACACTGAAGCCAGTTATACTATGCATGACAAAAGCACACAAAAATGCTAAAGCATAAAATGAAACTGAAAATATTAAACAAAAGCTCATTCAAAACATGAATAAACACTGAAGCCAGTTATACTATGCAATGAAATTCAAACATTTTAATATAAATACTTACATGGCCACTTTATGTAACCCTGCTGAAAAAAAAAAAACAGCTAAAACCAGCCTAAGCTGGCTGGCTGGTTTTAGCTGGAAGTAGCTGATCTCCCAGCCTGGCGAAGCAGGTTTTAGCTGGTTGGCCAGCTGGTCTCCCAGCCTAAGAATGGCCAAAACCCCTCTAAAACCAGCCTGCTGACCAGCTATGACTAGGCTGGACGACCAACTAAAACCAACCAACCAGCTTAGGCTGGTTTTAGCTGGGGTTTTTTTTTCAGCAGGGGTACTTACCTGCAGTCCACAACTGCATTATTGGACTGCTGAAGAGGAACCCTCAACTCCTCCATCTGCGGTCCATTGAGACACAGCTGGCCGCCTTCACAGCTCAAAGACACCAGCACCAGACGAGGCTGCTGTCTGCCCGTCACCATGTGTCCGTCCTCCGTGATGACCAGCCAGTGCCTGCAACAGACACACGCTCTCTGTGCAGTTAACTCTACAGCGAACAAGAACAGCTGTCCATGTTACTCTGTAATGCACAAACTTAAAAGAAAAAGTCTAATGGCCTGTGGCGTCATGGCACGAATTATGGGCGTTTGTCCCTGCTGGGGGAAAAAAAAAAACACCTAAAACCAGCTTAAGCTGGTTCGCTGGTCTTAGCTGGTCTTCCAGCTTGTCTTAGCTGGTCCGCAGGCTGGTTTTAGAGGGGTTTTGGCCACTTCTTTAGCTGGTCAGGCTGGGAGACCAGCTAAAACCAGCTTAAACTATCTAAGACCAGCCAGCCAAATTAGGGGTTTTGGCCACTTCTTTAGCTGGTCAGGCTGGGAGACCAGCTAAAACCAGCTACTTCCAGCTTAAATTATCTAAGACCAGCCAGCCAAATTAGGCTGGTTTTAGAGGGGTTTTGGCCACTTCTTTAGCTGGTCAGGCTGGGAGACCAGCTAAAACCAGCTTAAACTATCTAAGACCAGCCAGCCAAATTAGGTTGGTTTTAGAGGGGTTTCTGCCACTTCTTTAGCTGGTCAGGTTGGGAGACCAGCTAAAACCAGCTACTTCCAGCTTAAACTATCTAAGACCAGCCAGCCAAATTAGGCTAGTTTTAGAGGGGTTTTGGTCACTTCTTTAGCTGGTCAAGCTGGGAGACCAGCTAAAACTATCTAAGACCAGCCAGCCAAATTAGGTTGGTTTTAGAGGGGTTTCTGCCACTTCTTTAGCTGGTCAGGTTGGGAGACCAGCTAAAACCAGCTACTTCCAGCTTAAACTATCTAAGACCAGCCAGCCAAATTAGGCTAGTTTTAGAGGGGTTTTGGTCACTTCTTTAGCTGGTCAAGCTGGGAGACCAGCTAAAACTATCTAAGACCAGCCAGCCAAATTAGGGGTTTCGGCCACTTCTTTAGCTGGTCAGGCTGGGAGACCAGCTAAAACGATCTAAAACCAGCCAGCCAAATTAGGCTGTTTTTTTGTGTGTGTGTGGGGGGGGGGGCGTCTGACCCCTCGAAATAAGGCTTGAACCCCTCCAAAGGTTGTCAAAACAAAGACGGACAACAACAGAATGTATTCTGTTACATACATGCGTTTATAGTTTAGGGTTTCAAAAGTTTTGGTAGCCACAAAAGTTAGTCCGAGCGCAAAAATAGACAACAGCATGGCAACGGTAAACCATCAAAATAGAAACACTGCCATTGTTCATGTTGTTATTTCATATTTACAGGTCAAGATTGAACAAAAATGTGTAAAAAGCGTTCCTTTGCATGAAACGGAATTCACAAACTGTGGTGCGTCATATAATTATAGGCAAACATTCCTTTAAAGAGACCTAGTTTAATCAGCACAGTAAATGTATTCGCGAATATTGATGTATTTGCGTCCAAAGAAATTGCATGACTCTAAAACAAAGGTGCAACAAAAACTCACCGATCCCGCAGTTCGCCATATTTCAGCCCCATTCGCAGACATTCTGCTGTCTCCACCAACACTGCTTTCCCGGACTTCATAGGATGAAGCAGCAGTTGAGTAACAACTCCCACTCGAGTGAACTTCTTCTCTGGACGCCTAACGTTATATTTATATACAAGACCGAGTCCAAGCAGAGCAACTGCTGTGCCTGCAGCGCATAATACTACTTCCCGATTTCGGGTGAAGATTTTCACAAGCACCCCTTTGAAATCCATACTTAGTTCTCGGCAATAATATCTAAGCTGTAATACTGAAACGTTTAAAGCACTCTGATGGACTGTTTATATTGCAGCCAATGAAAAGGCGCGTTGCTACCAGGTAGTTTTAAAGGAACAGTCCTCGCTTTCTTTTACACGTTCTGATCCATCAGTAGGTTTTTCCAAAGCAAATGTTTGGTTTCAGTAAAATGTAATAACTTGATCAGCCTCTGAAACCACTTTTCTTGGCTGCCGGCAGCTGACATCACTTTTCAACCCTCTCCCACAAACACCTGTCATTCAGACCACTTTTCACTATCTAATAGCTAATAATAAACCATTTAAGAAATAGTTCACCCAAAAATATTCTGTCATCATTTACTCATCCTCAAGTTGTGTCAAACCTGTATGAGTTTTTTGTGGAAGAATGTGGTTAACCAAACAGTTTCTGGTCCCCATTGACTCCAAGAGGCTCTAGCTGCAGCCTTGCACTTGCACTCTCAGACTTGCACTCTCAGACTTGCACTCTCAGACTTACATTCTCAGACTTGCACTCTCAGACTTGCATTCTCAGACACTTGCGCTTCCGCTAGCGACGTCACTTGCAGTCTTTTATTTTTTTTATTTTGTTCTATTTATTGATTACTTTTTGTTTGAATCGCTCAACATTTTACAACAGTAGCCAGGTGGTGAAGACAGGAAAAAAGAAACTAAATTACAATGTCACTTGCAATCGCCCCTTGCACTCTCCGCTACCTGCCACGTCACTTGCAATCGACACAAATTGTGCATGTTGCCAATGGAGACAAGACGCTGTGGTGATTAAACGATTAAAACTAATTTAGTCTACTATAACGAACAGGGTCCTGCAAGAAAAAGACAAGACCCGCAAATCCGTCGCCACAGAACAGCAGAATATGAATGCAATGCACAAAATCTCTCGCTAAGCGTTTTCCTCCCGTAGAAAAACATAAACACTTAACATGGTGTAATGTATAAAGATACATTAAGTTCAATTAAAAGATCAAATTCGATATATAGTTATTATTTAATGTATTACAAGGCAAACAGATGGCTATGAACACAATGCGCAAACTTTCACTTGTCCTCCCACACAGCAAAACGCTTAATGTTGTATAATAACGGACTGTTTTTCTACAGGAGGAAAACGCTTAACGAGAGACTTTGTGCATTGCGTTCATATTCTGCTGTTCTGTGGCCACGGATTTGTGGGCCTTGTCTTTTTCTTGCAGGACCCTGTATGTTATAGTACTAAATTAGTTTTCATCGTTTAATCACCACCACAGCTTCTTGTCTCCATTGGCAACACGCACGATTTGTGTCGATTGCAAGTGACGTGGCAGGTAGCGGAGAGTGCAAGTGGCAATTGCAAGTGACATTGTAATTTAGTTTCTTTTTTCTTGTCTTCACCACCTGGCTACTGTTGTAAAATGTTGAGAGATTCAAACAAAAAGTAATAAAAAATAGAACAAAATAAAAAATAAAGCCTGCAAGTGACGTCGCTAGCGGAAGCGCAAGTGTCTGAGAATGCAAGTCTGAGAGTGCAAGTCTGAGAGTGCAAGTCTGAGAGTGCAAGTGTGAGGCTGCAGCTAGACCCTTCTCATTGACTCCCCCTTTTTTTTGTCTTTTTTTTTCTGCTGATGTCAATGGGGACCAGAAACTGTTTGGTTACCCACATTCTTCAAAATATCTTTTGTGTTCAGCAGCAAAAAAAAAAAAAAACTAATTCAAAAAATACATGTTCGGAACAACTTAAGGGTGAATGACGATGACAGAATTTTCATTACATTTTGTGAACAATCCCTTTAAATTAATAGGACAGATAAAACATAAATCCCATCCTAATTTTTTTTTTTCTAGTTGAATATCCTGTTTCACTCTGAAATATGTTAAATTACAAGTTAAATGGGTTACAAATGCTTTTTGACTTTAAGGAATGTTCCGGGTTCAAATAAAGTTAATTAAGTTAATACAGTGTTGCAGGGATGATGCATTTTTCTATGTCAAATCTTAGAAATAAGTTAGCTTTTTAGCACTTCTAGTTCCATTGTCCTGCCCTTACAAAACAAAAATATATGAGAATATACTGCAAAATGTAATGCGATATATTGCATAATACATTTCCATATATGGGAAACTAACTAGTGCTTATATTTTTCAATATACTGCAATATATGCATTGACCAAGTATGGCTATATATTGATAAAATTATTTAGAAATGAAGAGAAAATAGCATTACATGTAATATTCACAAAGTTTGATCCTTTATTGTGCACATATATTGCACATTCATGTTCCCAAATAAATGTGAATGTATGTACACACATATAGTTGGAGATCTGTTAGTGTTTAATGTTGTATTATTTCGGAATTTAAAAGGGCTTCTGGTATATCTAAGTTTTTGGGGTTACCGTTGTCCTGAAGAGTAGAGCCTGTGGTTAGACTGACGACTGGCCGTAGACCATTAAGACTGTATATTAATTTATTTCATAAGTAATGGCTGTGCACTTTTTTTTTTTTTAGCATGCTGATATATAGTCTATAAAAACTATATAAAAAACTATAGTCTCTTTACTAAATACTTTAGTACATGCAGGTGTGCTTGTGCTGTTGCTATTATAAAAATATGAAAGATATATATATAAAATATTTGAACTATATTATACATGTCTATACTGAATGTGTATACACTGCATGAGTAAATATATGTGCAACATATTTCTACACATGCAGTACCATATCCTATCACATGTACATCTATGTTATGAAGTGTATTACTGAATATAAAATTACATATATTAAAATATATAATTAAATATACTGCCACATTTTTTTTATATATGAAAGTGGCAATTCCTTATGTATTATTCAATATATTGTAATATATTACCACAATATATTACATTTTCAATATACCATTAAATAATTTAATATATTGGTCATTCATATATAAGGAAATCTATTTTCTTTGTGTAAGAGTGAAGTCAATGTACTTTTGGTTAAATGCCTGAAATAAGGTCTGTGGAGAATACAAGCTCAAGATATTTTCATGTTTTATTTTACAACATAAAATACATAGGTAATGCCCTCTTGTGATTTATTTTAAAGCTCTTACTTGTCTTGAAAAAGATGGCTGCTAACAAGTGACTAAATGGGACTTCAGCCCAGGTAGCCAAAACGGTTTGGCCCGATAATGGCCCAGAACCGGCAGGCCGGATGAAATAACTCGGCCCGGCTGCGGTTGCCAGAGTCGCCCCAGAATTGGCCCAAATACACTAGCCTGAGTCCGGCTGCCAAAACTGCCGGCATTGGGCCACAATCACGTCTACAAGAATTGAAACTCCTAGCCGGTACTGGCCCGAGTCTGGATACTGAAACTGGGCCAACACCACCGGCATTAGGCCACAATCACACCGACGAGTGGCCCAATGCCGGTGGTGTTGGCCCAGTTTCAGTACCCAGACTCGGGCCAGTACTGGCTAAGTTTTTCATTTCTCGTCGGTGTGATTGTGGCCCAATGCCGGTGGTGTTGGCCCAGTTTCAGTACCCAGACTCGGGCCAGTACTGGCTAAGTTTTTCATTTCTCGTCGGTGTGATTGTGGCCCAATGCCGGTGGTGTTGGCCCAGTTTCAGTACCCAGACTCGGGCCAGTACTGGCTAAGTTTTTCATTTCTCGTCGGTGTGATTGTGGCCCAATGCCGGTGGTGTTGGCCCAGTTTCAGTTTTGGTTGGCGTGATTGTGGCCCAATGCCAGTGGTGTCGGTTTTTTTCCTTCCTTTATTTTTCTACTTTTTAGGAAACAAATCAAAGAAAAAATAAACAAATTCTACTGTTCCTAATATTCTGTATGTTGCTCAAAAACAAAATATAGTCATATATATATATAAAAAAGTATATATATTTTTTTTACCCAGTCATTTAAAAATAACACATTTTAGAGCTGTAACAACAACACTGTGATACTGTGAAACCGTGATATTTTTGCTTAAGGTTATCATGCCGTCAAAATCTCATACCGGCCCATGCCTACTGCTACATACTATTTACCACATTGTAAATGGAGACCCACCCCCAGCACTCAACCTAAACTGGTCTGGTTCTGCATGGCCTTATCTCAGCCAAAATCAGACCAGCCCTTATGGTCCGTAATTGGGCCAAATGTGGCTAAATGTGCAGCGTCTCAGTGCAAATCGGGCCAGATCTGCACATCCAAAGCCAAGCCAGATCTGGCAACCATTACTGGGCCAGAGCTGGCTGACATTTGGTGAGCCGCTGCCAGAACACAGCCGAGTGAGCCGACACTCAGCCGCAATTGGCCCGATTGCGCTGGCTACCTGTGAGAGGTTATCTGAAGGTAAAGGTGTTGTTGAAGTCATGTGACCATGTTGTGTTTAAATTACTTTGTTTAAATGAATTTACTTATAGTTTTTTCCTTCCAACGATTATATTTAGGCTTCAAATTTAATAAAAGTTGTGTTTATTTGTTACGTTTATCATAATGAAAACATGTAAGAATCATAAAGTTTTGTTGGCCACAGTGCACATTTTCTGCAATAATCCAAAAGCCAATGGAAAAATCTATTGAATTTTTGCTGCAGATACCAGAGTGATGATAAATTTCAGGTTGGCCTACAAAAATATGCCATCAGCAGTCTAGTGCTCTACTAATACAGACAATAGTTTTTAACTATAATCACATATAACACATGCAGTTATGGTAATTGTGTAACCAAGTGTTTTTGAAAGGGTTAAAAAAAATAATGATTTAGTTTGTTTTTACAAACTGTTGGACGAATCAAAATTATTTCCTGAATTATTTCCAAAACTATTTATTAAGTGACGGCATGTTACAGATTCTACAAAAAAAGATTAATGATTGAACTTGGAACATATTCCTTATTAGACCATTGTATTTAACATTGTGAAAATACATCCCTTTCCCTAGTTTCACTGGCATTTGACATGATCATATCAATTTCACATGGACAAAAATAAATATGCTATTCTTTTTATTCTACTCAGCAAAGAGTTATTTTTGCCCTGTTTCCTTTGGTAAGGACAAAAATAGAAACAAATGTACACTCTGTCCTGCCCACACTGACCTGCTGGTCAACGATATTTTCTACCTTTCACATGGATGTAGATGCCAAACGAAAAAAAATCTAGAAGGAAAAGCAACAGATGCCGCCACCATGGGGGGGGGGCAATACAGGCATTTGTTGTAATGGCGTTCCTTCTGTCACTGTGTCATGCAGGTTTAATAGCTGAAGGCAAAGTCTTGGGCACAAAGCGCTTTCTCCTTGGCAGGATGAGAAGATGGCACACACTCCTGTGTGGGCCAAACATAGCCTGATCAGCAAGGCCTCTCTGAATCATGGGAGATACACAGGACACGATGTCCAGATCAGTGCTGAGAGCACTTGGAGAGTCCGTATGTGATAGCTGCTGTTTTTCCTAGAGCTCTAGTTCAGACCAAGGTCATATTTATACTTTGTCTTCAAATGAATTTTATGTGCTAAACATCAAGAGTAATTAAATACCTCAGGTTCAAGAATCTAATAAATATTACGTGCCGAGATGTTGACTCTGATATCACTGTTACATTGGCAACTCTGTCCTAGTTATGAAAAAAAAGTCATCTGCTGCCAGTTCGAATACTGCTTAATCACTCCATGTGACCTCCATCAGGTTAATATACTTCAGGAGCTTTCAAAAGGTCAGATTATTCCCTTAACACACTGTACAGAGCTGGGCAGAAAGCAGGAGTCATGTCGGTATATGCCATCTGGATCAACAAATATCTGATAGGTGTTTCATTTTGCTGGTTACAGTAGCACAGCGTATTATAGGAGACTCATTACAGTAATGGAGTGGCAATCTGGCAATAATATCAGATCATAGTGTACTTAGTAAAGAGTGTCAGCTGTGGTTTTCTCAACATCGCAACATTGCGAAAACTATTGATCCAACGGAATTGTGCAAATTGCAGAATTGAAGAACTGGCTCCTTTTTAAGGAGCTGAATTTGAGTTGAATTGGCCACACCCCACAGGAAGTTGAATTGGTAGGAAGAGGAATTTATTGAAATGTTATTCAATTGTTATTTCAACACAGATTATGTATTCACTAAGGGGATCATGTTCAAAATATGAGATGAGAGGAAAAAATTATAATGAAATGCTTTGTGCTTGCTCGCAAAACTTTTTCTTTCACGTGAGAAACTTTATGTTCTCTCTCAATTAAAAACATATTTTTCCTCCAACCTCATATTTTTCCCATCACCAGTTTAGAGAGCGCGTGCAAAATTTTGTGAGTGAATGCAAATGCATGACAATATCCTTTTTTCCTCCATTTCATATTTTTTTCATCACCATGAGATGATGTGTTCTTCCACAAAACTTAACCAAAAATTATTTATTAAAATAAAATATCTACATATTTATTTATTGTGAGTGTCTGTCTGTCTGTATATCTGTTTTAATGCTTTTAGGTCTATTTCACTGTTATAAATTAAAGTCAATTTCTTTGAATTCAATTCATTTTAAGTCTACTTCCTCATTCAAATTCAAATTCAAATTATGCATTCTGTTTACTATCTCAATTCCAATTCAACTCAAATTCAAGAATTGAATTGAAATTTAAAAGGTGTCTAAAATGACTAAAATTAATGAAAATTGACAAATTTACACCTTTACCATAAGCACATCGCAGATCAGACTTTTTTGGTCAAACTTAGTAAAGAACTGTTAAAATACTTTCTATTGCAACATATCAGGGTGTAAATGAGCTATTTGAAGTAGAAGACCATTTGAATTCTCATTATAGTCATCAAAGTGTTGAATGAATATAGATGTGTTGGTGCAAAAAGACTCCTAGTGGAGCTCTTTCATCAGTCCACCTCAATCTTTGGTGGTCCATTCAAGCATCTTCATGTGAATGCTATGAAAATTATTCATGTGACTCATTAGAGATCTACAGTGACTGTATAAGAAAGTGAGGTGATTCAGACAGAGCTACGTCTCTTGGAGAAGAACCTGAACGGTGAGATGTTTCTCAGGTCAGCAGACACAGTGCTAATGGCTGAGCAGCGTTGAGGGTTACACACACAGCCCGTGGTGCCGGGTTCAAAGAAGTGGTGGGGTGATACGTCTCCTTGCTCCATTAGCGCATCGGTGAAGGACAAATCCTGCGGGAGGATCACCATCTTCTCTCGGCTTTTGTACCACAGGCAGGAGCACACCGTCTGGAAGTGAAGCACCTCAGCGTAGACACTCTTCAGCCCTCGCCTTTTATCTCGCCCAACGGCGACTGGGCTCGGAGGGTCCGGACGCCGTCTAACCGGACCTTTCTGTTTATCTTTGGAGAGCAGCGCCTTCTGCTCTGCGTCTCTTCTCACATCCTCTGTGTTCATCGTCATGAACCGTAACACCACTAGATTGAGGAAAGCACCAATTACTGTGAGGCCCATCAGGATATAAACAAAACTAAAGGCTACGTAATGAGGGTCATTCTGGAGAGCGTTGTCCTTCTGTAGGGCTACGTAGTCCCCGAATCCGATGGTGGTGAGGGTGATGAAACAGTAGTAGAAGGCATGGAAAAAGCTCCAACCTTCGTAGTGGGAGAAGGCAGCTGCTCCTATGCACAAGGTGCTGACGCAGGAAAAGAAGCCGATGATCACCATGTTGACCATGGAGACTTCCGGCCGCCGCAGGCCCATGCATTTCTTGGCTTTGTGCAACAGGAAGCGGACGAAGGTGTTGATACGTTCACCCAGGCTCTGGAACATCACCAGGGTGAGGGGGATGCCCAGAAGCGCATATCCCATGCAGAATGCTTTCCCAGCATCCGTACTGGGGGCGGCATGGCCATAACCTTGGGAAGAAGAGCAGGACAAGATAGGTGTTTCAAAAAAGCCAATGTTTTCATAGATGACTTGATGTGACGTTGTATGCTTAGATGTCTGTAGACCTTAACCCTTTCAGACCCTGCATTCATTGAAATGGTTTAAACCAGGGGTTTTCAAGCCTGTCCTGGAGGGCCCCCAGCACTGCACATTTTGCATGTCTCCCTTATCAGACACAGTTCTTTTCAATTCAGTTCTTGCAGTCTCCACTAAGGTGTTGATACGTTCACCCAGGCTCTGGAACATCACCAGGGTGAGGGGGATGCCCAGAAGCGCATATCCCATGCAGAAGGCTTTCCCAGCATCCGTACTGGGGGCGGCATGGCCATAACCTTGGGAAGAAGAGCAGGACAAGATAGGTGTTTCAAAAAATCCAATGTTTTCATAGATGACTTGATGTGACGTTGTATGCTTAGATGTCTGTAGACCTTAACCCTTTCAGACCCTGCATTCATTGAAATGGTTTAAACCAGGGGTTTTCAAGCCTGTCCTGGAGGGTCCCCAGCACTGCACATTTTGCATGTCTCCCTTATCAGACACAGTTCTTTCCAATTCAGTTCTTGCAGTCTCCACTAATGAGCTGATGAGTTGAATCAGGTGTGTTAGATGAGGGAGACAAACAAAATGTGCAGGGCTGGAGGCCCTCCAGGACAGGTTTGAGAACCAGGGGTGCCCAATCCTGTTCCTGGAGATCTACCTTCCTTCAAAGTTCAGCTCCAACCCTAATCAAACACACCTGAACCTCTTCAGGAACACTTGGGCTGTGTCCGAAAGCTTAAGCAGCTGACTTGTTGAAGCAGGCAGTGACTTTGAGCTTTGAGAGAGCTTTGGTGGTAACTAAGCAAATATTTAATTACTACAATACTAATTTCTTTCTAGAAATTACATCAAAAGTGGAAAAAGTTGGATCACTGCAACTTTGAGGCACCATCTTTATTCTTTTAGCTCAGCTGTTACAAAATGGAACACAAAGGATTGTGGGATATCATAGGCAGTGAGGGATATATCCATGCTGCCTTCAAAAATTGATCAGAAGAAAGTATCTCAGCCAACAGGATGTAACATGATCATTGGATTTAGATGTGCCTTGTTGCCTTCCTACCTCTGTTTGCTGCCTGCGGAGGCAGTATTTTTCAGCTTTTGGACACAGCCTCAGTAGCCCCTCACTGCAGAACACAAGATCCAGGGGATGTGGTTGGATCCACATCTAGGGGGTGGAGATCGGTAGGTTTAGGGATCAGGGGGTGGAGACGGGTAGGTTTAGGTATATGTAAGGTGGGAGGAGTTGGATCTGGATCTTGTGCTCTGCAGTGAGGACCATCTCCACAGCCTTGATAATTACAGACGAGTTTGTTGGATTTAGGGTTGACACTGAATTCTGCATGAAGGTAGATCTTCAGAAATGGGATTGGACACCCCTGGTTTAAACCAATAAAAATGTATATGTATATTTACATATTTATTTATATTTATAGTATGGGTAATGCCTGGTCACAATCATAATGAAGACATGACTCTTAATTTAATCTGACTAATTTTGCTTGCATATATGCTAATTTATGTTCATGCTAGGCAAGTTGCACCTCTTATAATATTAATAGTATCAAGTAATATGTTCATTTGAAGATCTTTCAGACTTGTAGAACACTGGATAGTCAAGACCATGCCAGAGTAAGCTACCATAAAATAGGTCTTTGGTTCCACTCAGCGTGAGATTTAATGGCGTAATTCAGATTTGCATTGAACAACATTTGTGATCTTTGAGGGTGTATGTCAGTGAAACAACCTCTTAATAAGTCAGAATAAAATTTAAGGTAAACAAGCCTTTCAATAACTTCACAGTTTGTTATCGGCCAGAATCATGACCTAGTGACAGCTTTTGTACCTTTTTTCTGAAATTTTATAAATTATGTTGTGTTGTATATAAGTGTTTTTAAGCTCTTTGTGGTCTTTGAGGGTTAAAGGTAAATGCAATTAGTTGTAACTGTCCTTCACACAAGCAATGCAATATCATTGCCTTCAGCTCCTGAAAGCACAGGAGCATTTTGTAGGGTGCTCTTCTAAAAATAACTCATGACCATTTTTGAATTAATCCACCGGAAACAGTGACCGAAATCACCATGAACAGTAACACAGGATTAAGCACTTCAATGATGACTGCATGTATGGGGCGTTTCTTCTTCATAATTTTCTGATTTAGGCCTATCGCTCGCATCCTACAATTTCGCTTCATTTTATATCTCAGTGAACATATTTCACCAAGACTGAATTCAAATTAGATTGAATTGAATTTTTATTTCATACACACAGCACAGAGTAAAATGTTAATTCTACGTTTAAAAAAGCAAAGTTTTGCTGCAGTTGCCAGAACTTTTCCGAGAAAATGCAGTATTTATAGGGATTTTGGTGACTGTATAGCCTATATTCCAGAGTTCCTATTAAATACACTAAGCTATTTGTCCTGTTGGTTTTCTCTGCTGATAATAACACAGCTGGTGCAATGGAAAACCAAATGATGACTTTAAGTTAATCGAAATTGTAATAATAATAACAGTGTGCAATGTCGCCCACGCCAACACAAAATAGCATCAGTAAAACACATATGACACTAAAATGATGCTAGGATCTAAATAAATAATGTAATAAAACTAAATACACAAATGTGATTGTTCGTGCAATCACATTTGAATTGTCCCTTTCCACATAAAGGCGATTCATAGTTAAAACTTTCTGAAATTGTAATACATTTGACCATAAAAGTATACGTTTTGCTGTGTTTTTCATACAGTGAAACAAACATGTGAATAAAATCGAACGAAACGAACAGTTTTCTAAACCTAAAGTTAATTGTATTAGCTTATAGGCAAAACAACAAGCTAAGAAACTATAAAACATCATTAGACTTGAATGACCGTCTTCACAAATTAAACTCATCAGTTAGAGCTGAAACATTACCTATGGTCGTTATCACAGTGATGGCGAAGTAAAAAGATCCGGAGAACTTCCACTGGACTCCAGCTTTGTGAGGCTTCAGAAGCAACACGACCTTTTCAATCTGATCAAAGTCAAGCCTGCTGAGATTGTATTTATGCATAAGTAGAAATTTTCGATAGTCGAGTTTGCTCTTCTGGCTTTTCTCTTGCCTTGACTCGAGAGCGTCGAAGACTCCCGCTCCAATGAGCAAATAGGACAAAGTGCAGATAATTAAGGCGAGTGTCCGCACGTTTTGTCTCTTCATTTTTTCATAATCGCCTCAAAATATCCCTCAGTTTTCAAAGCTCCGGTCCGGTATGGGAACTTTCCTGATTCATGGCTTGTCATAGCTCCCTTGTACCCCTTGGCAGCAAGAATCCAGCTGAGGGTCTCCTGAAAATCTGCCACAAGGACCGCTATTAAAAGAAGTCGTGTTTAGTGGAGCTGTTCTTTCAGCACCACCCCCAGAGACTTGTACACACACTCCTTATATGGGCATTTGTTCCTTCCAGTTAGCTTGAGTTCACAGGTAAACTGGGAGAACGAAGAAAGGTTTAAACTGTCACGCGTCATCGAACATATTCCATTGTAATTATTGATTGTATGTCACTTTTTGGAGCTGTTTAAATACATCTGGGAAGTGCGCGATTAAAAGAAGGTTCCAAAGGGCAGTTTTGTGATGCCGCAGAAGAACCATATTAGGCTCCTCAAAGAACCTTTCAGTGAAAAACAATTATTTATTAATGTGAAGAATGTTTTAATAACCTAAATTACCTTTTTCAACTATATAAAGAGCCTTTTGTGCATTTGAAAGGGTCAGTAGATGTTAAATGCTCTTCATGGAACCATAGATGCCACAAAGAACCTTTATTTTAAGAGTGTAGGCTATTACTTTTCATGTGATGAATGATGTGTAACATAGACTCTGTAATGTAAAGTGTTACCGCTTCTTTTACATGAAAAAAAAATACATGTGTTTTTTTAAATAAGTCATTTTGACCCAGAGAGGATTTTCTTTTTCCCGAAAATGAACCAAAACTTACTGACTTTGCTCACACAGGAATAACAACTTCATTTAGGGTATACTTTTTGGAGATTTTTTCCCCACCTTGTTACATTTGTGGTTTTCCCAGTCAAAAATCACTGCCCTAAAAAAATTAAATAAAATACAAATACACATTTCTAAGTATCTCAACAGGTTATATTACTACCAAATGTTGTATTCAGTATTTTTATCAACTTGTTTTCTTTTAATTAACACAGGTTTTGTATTTCTTTTTGGAATTGATAGGCCTTACTGATCTGAACCTTTGCACCTCTTTTCTAATAAACATTGCCAAAATGATGGCAATATTTTTTCATTCAAAATCTGAGGTGCATATGCTAAGATAAATGAGGCCTATGTCCAATCAGTGCCAAAAATAAATACAAAACCTATACTGATTGAAAGAAAACAAGATGACAAAGTTTAAATCCAAGATTTGGTAATAATATAGCATAATGATAAATTTACGAGCAATTTTTAATAAACTGGCTATTTTTGAGCAGGATTTTCTGCAGTTAATTCTCCTTGCAAGTTTGCTTATGTTTTCTTAATACCAATATAATATGTGCATATGCTAAGATAAATGAGGCCTATGTCCAATCAGTGCCAAAAATAAATACAAAACCTATACTGATTGAAAGAAAACAAGATGACATAAAGTTTAAATCCAAGATTTGGTAATAATATAGCATAATGATAAATTTACGAGCAATTTTTAATAAACTGGCTATTTTTGAGCAGGATTTTCTGCAGTTAATTCTCCTTGCAAGTTTGCTTATGTTTTCTTAATACCAATATAATATGCAGTGTAGTTATAACATACTGCACATGCACAGATTCCTGAATAACTGTATCTAATAATCTGTAAGGAAATGAATCATAGACCAATGTCTTACCAAATAATGTCTCAGGTTACTTATGTAACCATGGTTCCCTGAGTAGGGAACGAGACACTGCGTCCTCTAGGGGTCACTATGGGGAATGCCTCGTCGTGACCCGTGTCTGAAGCATACATTGAAAAAACACCAACAACACGTTGGCCGGCGACAGCCATGACATCCCTACCGGTGCAACTATAGTATAAATAGGCACCGGGAGAACACATCATCCACTTCTTCGTCTGAAACTTGCGTCCGAAGCATGGCAAGAAACCTAGAGGATGCAGTGTCTCGTTCCCTACTCAGGGAACCATGGTTACATAAGTAACCTGAGACGTTCCCTTTCATGGGAACTTCGAACTGCGTCCTCTAGGGGCATAAGCCCAGCCCGGACGTCCAGGAAAATTTTTGCAGTGCCATGCCGGGGGCCTAATGATCAAGAAGGCTCCCGCAGAAGCCTGTGACTTGGCCGCATAATCCAGAAAGTATGAAGCCTAAACCCGGCTTATATATATATATAAATTTGAAATGGATTGTACTCCCACACCATGGTTCCCTCGTTGGAGCCCCGTCCGAAGAAGCCTCTGGTCTGGACCATCAGTAAGGTGGTAACT